TTTTGTTTTGTTACTATGGGTATGGGTGTTTTCTCACCTATAAGAGAAAGAATATCCTGTGACAAGTCTTAAGACCGGGCTTCTGTATTTTTCTTTTTACTTTTGTTTTTCAGTTTTATCTGTTATTTTTCATTTTATTTTTATTTTTGAACAGTGCACTGATTTCTGTTTGTGAATTTCTTTTCTTTAAGCAGATCTGCACGTCGGGAATTAAAAGTGCTACACGTCATCGAGAAAATTGTTGCAAGTGAGTTTCTCCACATTAAAATGGGCTCTGGAGAAAGCCACTTATTTGGGACAATTAGAAAATGAGAGTCCCTGCCTAAAAAAGATTCAGCGAGGTAATCCGATCTAAAGTTCTTCTTCTTTTTCTTTTTGAAATAACGTCATTTTGCTGAAAGTGGAAACTAAATGCGACGATAGGTTCCACTATCAGCAAAGAAAGAAAGAATGAATGAATGAATGAATGAATGAATGAATGAATGAATGGAAATAAAATAAAAACAAACTGACTGACTGGTAAAAGCTGACAAGACTTAACCACGACTCAAGGTTAAGCTCCACCTAGACAGGACAAAAGGGTGGATGAATTTATGTGTTTCCTTTTACAGGAGCAGAAAGATGACAGCAACATCTGAGGTTGCGTGATGGTTTCACCTTTTAAATGCCATTTTCTGTGTTTGTGAATCTACCAGGGGTGTGTTATTCATGTTGCTCACAGAAGTTACTGTGAGAAAGTGTGTACACACCTGCGCAGCGCTAACATTTGCATTCTCTTTTCTACAGCATTACAGTTCTTCATGTGATTTGATGATGTGATTTCTAACAGAACAATTGGTGGATGTTTGTTTCTCTACTACAGGTTATGAGTTGGTGATGCTGTTACACTGTGTTTTTGGGAAAATGTGAAGGCTACTTTGATGATGTGAATAACATGTAAGAAATTTCCTGTGTTGAAAACTAGTGTCACTTCTTTCCACAGCTATGGATGGCTAACTTTATGGTCTTTTTATGGCACCTCTGGAATGTGGATGGCCGACGCCTGCCCACCACACAATCCATGTGTGTTGCTAATGTTTGTTTTCTTTAAGAGTGCATGTGGAGGATTCAGCAGAAGTGGACAAGTGACATGAGAAAAACAAATAAGGGATGCAGTGTTTATGGAATAGTTGAATATGGGCTCATTAGCCTGCCACTATTGAACTCAAAGTGATAAAATGGGTGGAGTGAAATTGTTTAAGGAAAGTCACAGATTAATTGTGGAATAAATTGGGATGATTCATGATTTGGGACAAATTATGGTAATAATAGTGATTTAATTATTGGAGAAAACCTGCACATGATACTTGTCTGTTATGCTGAGTACTTTATCACTCTCATGATCTATAGTTGGTTGCAAATGTGAAGTTTGATTTAACAGATTTGTTTTCCAGGTTACAGGCTCCAGGTGGAGCTGGGAGTTAAACAAGCTTAACATGTGACTGCTGATTAATGTTTTTACACAGGGGTACAGGTTGGAGTATGGCTGCTCCAAGTGGGAAACCCTGGAGATTGCTTTAGAGAGAATGTGCAACATTCTTGTGCATGTCTCATTGGGGAGTTGACACATGGCGAAAGCCGTGTGGCGAGAGGAGTGTCATTTTTGAATTTGTAGATGTCGTGAGGTGCCATGATGAGAAGGAGTGGCTGAGAGGATCGTCCACAAGATGGGAGCTGAGGCCAGGAGAGAGGCTTCAGGAGGATCAGAGATCATCTTCAGCACAGCGGACATCACACAGAGAGCTGTGCTACTGAGCTTCCAGGAGATCAAGAGGAGACTTCCCACAGCAAGATTTTAAATAAAATGAAAGATTCAATGTTGACGCTGAGGAAGACGACTAAGGTGTACGACGTGCTCTGCCTTAAACCTTCAGCAGCGTTGGAACATGAGAACTCGAGGGATGGAGAGAGCGTGCCAAGCTCTAAAAGTGACGGTGCAGAGGAAGTCCAGCGATGGAATTGTGTTTCTGTGTGAGGCACAAATACTAGGAGACTGGGAAATAGTTGACACCACTTTTCCCAAGGATGAAGATCACCTAAAGTGTGTCACTTTGCCATGCAGATTTGATGCTCTGCAGAGAATCCTTCTGTGAGGGAGAGATGTAAACAGACGAGCCTTTTATTTACATTTAAATCATGTTAACTTCTCTAGGCTGGTTGAGGGGGAATTGGAGAGAAACGGTAGTGTTAGGTGTGACTTTTTGAATCAGTTGTTCTGTTAAAACATTTTTGTGGGTGGATGTTAACCAAACTGTAACCATTACAAATGAACTTTTTACTTTTTACATAAAAAGGCTTAAAATGATTTTAAAAAGACAGCTAACACTTACTTTTAGTTATTCTTAAGAAATTCTTAAATCCTCAAACACTCTTCTGATCATCAGGATGGAACAAAAATCCATATAAAGATAAAAAGTGAGAGTTTCTCTGTCGGTTAAAAGGGGCCCGATTAAGGTTTGTTCAACACAAGCAATTTCTTTTTTGTAAAAGTAATCTGTGGGTGAACTGACCTTTGTACTAAAAAGCTGAACGAACTGATTCCTGTTCCTCTTCAACACCACTGTGTGTGACATCAAAGCTCACATCCTCATTTTTTGACAAAGATCTACTGTATATGCAAAGCAAGTGTCACAGTTACAGCAATTGGATTTGTTTCCAAGGAAACAGGTAGATATGTAAAGACAAAATCTGTCTGTCTCTCAGTGAACTGCAATATACTTGTTCTAATGAATAAAACCACAGCTGTTCTGGAGAACTTTGTCCACCTTTGATTGTCTTTAAGGTGTGTTGGAGCCACAGAGAGCAAATCTTTGTTCTTCATGGAGAACCAGTGAGGCTGTTTGGACTTTCCTATGAAACGTCAGTGCAGGAGTCTCTCAGTACATCTGTCCTTGTGCAGTTTTTGTGTGGGTGACTGGCACTCCTGCACTTGGCATGGGGAGCTCCATCTGGGCCCTCCCTCTTTCCCCTGCTGGGATGGACGAACAGTTGTGATTGAGATGTGTGACTCTAGGTCTTCAGCACTCTCGGGGGTCCATGAACAGCCTCAACCTCATTTCCAAGTTCATTTTCATGACAAATGCTCAACACAGACACTCACATTCTCTCTGTCACTTCTACTATCTTAGCGTTCTTCTCCTGTCTTCTCCCAAAGTGGCTTTCATCCACTTTTTTGCTCTGGAAGTGATAATGAATTAAATAGTAATAAAATAAATAAATAAAACAAAAAGATAAAAAAGAGAGGAGCCTACAGAGAATCCATAATGCATCTCTTTGTGTTTGGCACAACAAAGCATTCAGACGATGATTCTGCTTCTAAAACTGCCAGACAAAAAAAATATGCTCATCCACAGACTGTATGGGAGCATCACACAGACTCAGATACCTGCTAATTAATGCTCAGTAACATTTAAATCAAATCCCAGGATTTCTCTCACCAAAACTGGGGAATTTTTTTAAGTGATAGAAAGTAGCTCTGATACCCTTAACAAAACAAAACCGTGACTGACTTCCTCACTGTGACTCAGAGACAGAGATAAATATGACCACATTTTGTGTCTCAGACTTTTGGACCAATCACAAATATGTCTGTCTCGTCTCTTTTCAGTTCCATTTCTTTCAGACAACCAGCTCATTGGTTTGTTATATTATCAGAGGACAATGGTGAGTAAAACTGCATAAGTGTGGTAAAATACATGAAAATTATTTATGATAATAATAATAATAATATCAAGCAAATGTATGTAAAGGTTGAACAGTTAGAACCTTTTTCCCACTTGTACCTAATTGAATCCACTCAGTTTTGTCCATTTTCCATTAGAATTCATACCTCCTAATATGTGGGGTTGTTAGAAATGTTGCCCAAAGTCCATTTACGTATGTGACACAAACACAACACAAAAATAGAGGACCCCTGATTGCCTCCGATTGCTTTGAACCCTGTCCAGTATAAAAAAATTACCTGTTATTAGGTACTACCCCCTAATGGAAAACCTTAAAAACCAAGTCAATCTGACCCGAGTAGATACTCGTGAAGCAGGGCTAATAAGAACGAAGGACTAAACTTTGCAGAAGACCTGATTGAATTTCTCTTTGAGCAGATCTAAAACTAATTACAAATGCTAATTCAAACATAATGTCTTTAATTTGGCCTTCAGTGCTACTTTCAGGAACTATCGTTTTTTTTGGCTGATTTTTTACTGGTTTTTGCTTTCTGCTTCTTCAGCCAGGTCTCTGCAGCAGGTCAGAGAGTATTCCTCGTGCTCTTTACCAGAGCAACTTTTATCCAGCCAGCCTGTTAGTGGATCGGGTTAAGCTCACAGATGGTTTGTAAGGAATGAAACCATCATTTAGCATGTGTTTAAAATGCAAACAAATCCTAACCTTACCTCTAGGGTCACCAGGTGGGCACTGAAAGCTCAAGCTATAAATGACTGCTGTCATTTAGAAAGAAGCTGCTATTCTGTAACACCCAGTATTACCAGTAGATGGCAGCAGATTTCAAATGTTATTCCTGGGATCACTGTTAGTAAGAGGAGCTCTGAGCTGAATCACGAGTCACATGTTCATGAGTCTACTTTCTCTCTTCAGCTCTCCGTTTTCATGTTATGATATTTTTTATTCTCCTGTATCACTAAATAAGTAAAATATTTCCTAAGAATAAATACACAGTGTACTGTTTTCCCCTTTTTTGTCAGCCAGTTAATAAAGAACCTGTGATACATTTATTGGTTAGTTGACCTCGAACAAGTCAAATTTTCCATCTGGCACCTTTTTGAAACTGCAGACAAGCAACAGATAAACCAGGTCCCCAAATGTAGTATCCAACAAAGATAAAGAAAATATAGAAAACAGTAAAACTCCAGAGGACGCAGCATTATAATAACAAATGACTTTTTTAATGTAAGACTTTTAAAATGGTGCTTTTACCAAAAGGCAAAAGTAGAAAATCCAAAGGGTTTAATAGAGAAATTAATGAAAGACTGAAGGCTGGTAGAGAAAAGACAACTAATCAACTGAAAGTCGGTGTTAGATTCTATTCAATGGAAACATATTCAATTATATTTTATCTGATTCAGATTTATTTCTAATGTCATGGATTATATGTGGATGTCCTCTGGTCTGAAGTGCTGGGGGGACCAGTTAGAGACCAGCAGCTGGACATCAGTGGTTGGACTGGTGGACTACTTCAGTGAAGAGTAGACGACGTCTGGCTCTGGTTTAAAGTCTGAACACAAACACACACAGTTCAAACAACAGGAAACATGATTACAAGCTTTGTAGTTCAATCAAGACCTCCAATCTCCACCTCTCTGCATCACACACAGTCCCAGTTCAGACTTTACTGGGAACCAGCTCAGATACAAATCACAGAGCTTCCATACTGCTCACATGTTAACTGCTTCTTCAAATTCAAAATCTCAAATGTGGAGCTCACAAATCTGTAACCGTTAGCTGAAGAAATGCCTGAAAAGTCATTTTTTCCTGCTTCCACCTTCTCTCTCCCTTCTTTCTCACAGTCAGAACAATGTGACTTAAATGTGACTTAAAACAGGAACCATTATTTAGTTTTTATTAAAATCGTTAACAAATGGAAACTGTTACACTGGAAATGATACATTTGTCTTGTGGATTATTTACATAACTCATATTTTGGGTTACAAGCATCAACAAGGAGATATTTTAAATAAACATCAATGTAGAGACCAGGCCCTGCTGACAGGTACATGAGTCAGGTGTTACATGTTATTATTATTTGCAATGTTGCATCACAATGCCAGTAAGTTTATTTTAAAAGAGCAGCTGGTTTTCTGACAAACACACACAGCCTCTGTTGTGATCAGAAGCTTCCACTGTGGTTAAAATGTGTTAAATGTTCACTGTGTTGCAGATGTTGAGAAATTAGAGTAGTGTGACAGACACACACTGTGTTTCCACAGCGTAGTTGTTATGTTGTGAAGGTGTTATGCACCATGTTGGTGTTTGACACATTAGCATGAAGGTACTTCACCACAGCTGTGTCACAGCTGTGGTGAAGTACCTTGTGTTTTTCCCAGCTGTCAGCACTTCTGCTGTGAACCAATGAATGACGGACAGAACGGCGAGGTGTTTGTGTGAACAGGAAGGTAGCGTCCACAAAGCTGCCATCTTCTTTCAGTGCAGAGTGAGACGCCTCACCACAAGCTGGAAAAACAGTGAGAACTCTCACCAGCATCAGACTAACTGCGGTCGTCAGCAGGATGTTGCTGCTGTTTAACATGCAGAACTTTAGAAATGATGCTGTAACCAAAGGACCGTTTGAGAGGCTGAAAACACACATTTGATGATCTTGGGTCTCTTTATGTGTCTCAGGCCCAGATCTCGTTCACACTTGTTTGTGAACGACATCTGGGCCTCATATGTGCCGCTACGGTACTTCCAAATACTCTGTGATCCAGATGTGGCCCAAAAATCATGATATTAAAGGTTAATAATTTCAAGTCTATATGACAGCTAGCAAACTACATGCAACAGCTGCCATCTGGCATCACAGATGCTAACAGAGTAGGAAACAAGCTGAAGTTGTCTAGAATGGTTCATAAAAGGTGAATTTCCATCATTGTTCATGACCACATGTGGTTCTAAGAAAATGCAGATGGGCCTCACTTAAATCGAACAATTCTGAGATATTTTACTCCTGCTACAGCAAGTCAGCGAGCTGCACTGTTGAACTGACTCCTTCATCAGCATCAACACAGACCCGTTAATGATGACGTGTGAGTCTCACCTTAAGGTTTCCTGTCAACATCTTATCTCACCAGAAGAACCAATAACACCAGTAGACTGATCCAACAGATGACAACACAGAGAGAACAGGAGGAGAGAATGATGGAGGAGAGATGGATGTAGGTGTGGTGGTGTGTTTGTCTAAAATAAAGCAAACGCACTCATTAAGTTCTCGTCACATTGTGAATGTTGAAACCTCTTGATACATGCTCAATCATTCAGGTAATTAAATCTCCAAATATTGATTCTGTTCATCGGCACGTAGCGTTTTTAGTGGGAGAAACGTCATGAGACCGATTGTCTGTATGATCAACTCAGTCACCTATAACATCTCCAAGTCTCTTCACTTGTATCCTAGTCACAGAAGCGTTGGAGGTAGTCCGTAAGAGATTACAGGATGACCCCAACCTCAGCAACAGGACCACTCTCAGCATCGACCGAGTGTGTTTGCTTCTGAAACTGTGTCTTCATTCCACCTACTTCACATACAAGGGTCAGTTCTACAGGCAGAAACGTGGGTGTGCCGTGGGCTCCCCAGTTTCACCCATCGTGGCCAATTTGTACATGGAAGAAGTGGAAAAGAGGGCTTTGCTATCCTACCCTGGAACACCACCAAGCCATTGGTTCAGATATGTGGATGACACCTGGGTGAAAATCAAATCTCAGGATGTACCACAATTCACGGATCACATTAACTCGGTGGACCGACACATCAAATTCACCAGGGAGGATATGAAAAGTGTCAGGTTAGCCTTCTTAGACTGTGAGATTTCCATCAGTAATGGGGGACATCTAAAAGCTGACGTGTACCATAAACCTATGCATACGGATCAGTATCTAATGTTTGACTCATCATCCACTGGAGCACAAACTGGTTGTCATCAGGACGCTACAACACAGAGCGAACACCATCCCCACTGACACAGCGGCCAGGGAGGCAGGAGAACATCACATCAAGAAGGCCCTGAGTAAATGTGGTTATCCCAGCTGGACGTTTGTCAAAGCTGGAAAGGCACCTAAAGAAAGTTCCAGCTGATCCAGGAGAGAAGAACAACCGCTGCCTAAGCGAAAACCTGTAGTGATCCCATATATGTCCGGAGTATCGGAGCAGTTGAGACACATTTTTTCTAAACACCGTGTCTCTGTGGCTTTTAAACCCCAAAACACGCTGCGCCAAAAATTGGTCCACCCCAAGGATCGGGTCCCCCGACACAAACAGAGTAACATAGTGTACGCTGTTAAGTGCAGGATTGCCAGGATTTATACATCGGGGAAAACAAACAACCTCTGGCGAAGCGGATGGCACAACACAGAAGAGCTACCTCGTCAGACCAGGACTCTGCAGTCTATTTACACCTACAGGCCAGTGGACACTCTGTCAATGATGAGGATGTAACATCCTGGACAGGGAGGAACGCTGGTTTGAGCGCGGAGTCAAGGAGGCCATTTACGTGAAAAGGGAAAGACCATCTCTGAATCGAGGAGGGGGCCTAAGGGGACATCTTTCATCATCTTACAATGCTGTGATTGCAGCCATTCCCCAACTCTCTGTGAATGGTACTCATGGCCATTGATCAGTGGGTTTTGATCAATGGGTTTTGGTCAGTGGTCATGTGAATTTGCATAATTATGATCAAGGAACTGACCTCCCAGCCCATTGTTCCTTTACTGCGCTGGTTTCAGTCATTGTGCAAATGTACTGTTTATAAGTTTGGGGAAACCTGCAGTCAGCTGAGACTGAAGAAGTCACTTGGATGAGTGACGAAACGTTTCTCCCACAAAACGCTACGTCCAGATGAACAGAATCACCTTTTGGAGAATGTTGAAAGCTGCAGAAACACAGACAGGTGAGTGTGTCACCTGTGACAGTGATCCAGCTGGATGGAGACTCTCCATGACCGCTGATGTCACACTTGTAGAGGCCTTCATCAGACCTGGAAACATGCTGGATGGTCATGTGACCTGTAGGCTGCTTCCTGATGAGGGAGCCATCTTTATAGAAAGCAGCTGGGAGGTTGGGGGGAGTGGTCTTTGTTTTACAGAGCAGAGTGACGTCATCTCCCTCCATCACAGGGAGGACAGGACTCTGCAGGATCACTGATTCACCTCAACACAGAGACAAACTACAGCATTTCATCCATTTACACACAGCTTCATCAACACTAACTCCACACACTCAGCTTACCAGTGACTGTCAGGTTAACCATGTTACTGATGGGACCCTCTCTGGACTCACACCAGTAAACTCCACTGTCATGAGGCATCATCAAAGTGATATTACACGAAGAACCTGCTGGTTTGCCCCACCCATCTCTGCACTGAGTCCTCTGTCGTGTGCTTGTGTTTCTCCTCAGAGTCCATCCAGCAGAGCTGTCGTCCTCCTCACAGCTCAGAGACACAAAGTCTCCTTCAAAGATCTGAGAGCTGTTGGGACTCACAGTCAGATGAGCTGTGAGGGTTAAAATTAAAAACTGATGATCACGTCTTTGAGATCTTTACTGAAAGTTTTAATCCAAATGTGTGAAACTTGTCAGAGTTTATCAGGTTTAAACTGTGACAGAAGAAGGTTACTGACCTTGGTTTGTTGTGCAGCTCAGCAGTGAGATCAGAACTAAAGAGAAACAACACTCAGGTTGATTTGACATAAACACACAAAGGTGATCACTCAGAACAACTTTGTATTATTTGATGTTTCCCTCTAAGACAGAAACATCAAACTCTTCATGTTGTGTCGCCTACAGCCCAGTTTGATCTTCCTGTCAGAGGAAACGTGGATCTAAACCAGGTCAGCAAAAAGCTGCTCGTACTAAACCAGAGACTCCAGGATTTCACTTTTCAACTTCTCGATGATCAGAATTATTAAATAAAACTGATCACATCATTTCATGCTTCATGAGCTGCTTCTGGAGTTACTGTAGAACAAGGAAGTCCTTCAAGTTACATTATAGTTACACTGAATACATACAAACAACTAGTACTGAACTAAGGTCTGTCCTCTGCTCTGTTCACACAAACACCAACATTTTATTTCAGCTTTTCACTCATAAATTCATCAGTAACTCTGTTTCAGTTTCTATCTCAAAAGCAGCTCTTAATGTTATCACAGTAATTATGTGCCCTGATAACACCCATAGTATATAAAAAATATCCACAGCATTTAAATAACCCAGTAAAGTCATGTGTCCACTGTGCAGCTGTGTTGATATAATGAGTGAATGATTTGATCTTTTCACTGCCTGCTGTGTTTCCTCGACTCCTGAGCAAAGATAAAGAGTCAGTTCAGACCTGCAGTTGGTCCTCGTGGTGTTTGAACTTGAATTCAGCCTGATTTGTTTTTCATGTCTTCTCCTCCATCATCAGTTATCAGGAGAGCAGACAGTCAAAGTACAAGAATTCAAACAAACACAGAGATTCTACTTACAGAGCAGACACAGCACAGATGTTTCCTTCATCGTCCTTCTC